AATGTAGTTTAAGACTAGGTTTACACTAGAGGAAATTGTTCCGGATTCGTGATGAATCCGAAACGTTTTAGTACCGGATTCATTCTGCCGTTTACACGAAAGTGGACGAATCCGAAATAAAAACTTCCCGGTTTGGTCGTGTCTCCGGAGATTTTGAATCCGGAATTTAAAGTGGGAACTTTGAATCCGATAACTTTTGAATCCGGAAAGTTTTGTCGTGTAACCGCTTTTTTTCTCGAATCCGGATATTATTTCCACCTGCAATCATTTGAGTTTGCGGTGAAACCAAAATGGATCTGGTGCTAACATTGCTGGCGGTCTCCGGTTGCCTAATCTTGTTGCAGGTTCAGGCGATAAATTTTATCATGTGTACCGCAGTATTTCTGAAGAAACGCAAATTATTATTGCAAGGAAGTTTAACGTCAGCCACACTCAGTAATCGCCGACGACGTAGACTGCTTGGCATCTGTCCAACTCAAATTTGCCTCAGTGGCATCTGGATCTACCACACTGCCTTTTTTGGGGGAGGCATTTTCACTTTGTCGATCGAACGACGAAACAACACTGGGCTTGGTAACCATTCCATTTCGAACGTTCCCGGAGTTGTCGTTGTGTGTAAACGGTCAGGAATCCGAATATCCTTTAATCAGTGTAAACGCCGACGAATCCGAATACTCCAAAATTGATGAATCCGGAAACATTTACGAATCCGGAAAACTCTCCTCTAGTGTAAACCTAGTCTTAGCTGCTTGGACCCAAGCTACAAGGCCATATGATAAATAAGGATAAATGAGGGATCTACATATATTTAATAATGTCGAATATGGTACAAGATGCCTTAGTCTACAAATTACACCAATGCCTTCACTTATTTTTGATGCAATATGACTGATATGATGTTTCCAGGTAAGGTTCCTGTCAATAAGTACACCTAGATATTTCACATAGTCTTTCCGCTCCAGGCAAATGAAATGTTTTCTGTTATTATCATATATTTTTAGATTTGTATAGGTAACCGCATGGGGCCTCGTAAAATTAAGGATTAATATCAATTGTGTTTTCGGAAGTTGCAATTTCAGCAACTTCCGAAAACACAAGTGATATTAATCCTTAATTTTACGAGGAACCATGTGATTACTTGTTTATGATATAAGGGGCAAAATGTTTTCTTACTGATCTCGCGCAAAACGGGACGACATTGTTACAAAACAAACAGAAATTTCTTTACCTTGGCAGCCGTTGCTAAGCGATTTTCAGCCAATCATTTTCAAGTAATTTTGCCCAGGGCAATTACAAAAATTAAGAAAAAAAATGCCCTCTGTCTTAACCAATCACAATTCAGTAATTTTGCCCCTTATTTATATGATAACCTCTGTACTTAAGTCGTTTCATTCCCAAACAGTGTTTCGTCCCAGCATTCTATGCGGTCGTAAAGTAATGATTCGCTGTTACAACTTGACGTGTTTGCAATTTGCGTGATAAACGATATTATGGTACAGTGTGAGGTCCGTAGAGCAATATCATGCTATATTCTCGCTTTGGTCTTTTTTGTATGGGACTATTCCTCAGGTAAACTCTTTGTATTATTGGGCAGTGCTTGTTTTATGGAGGAAATAACGCAATACTTACTGATATGTTTGTGTTATCTTGCAGCTGAAGGCCCACGAGTCCGTCTCTTCTCTGTCACAGACTTAATGCTTTTTGATAGCAATGATCTCCTTTACTTTGAAATCCTGCGACCAAAGAACATAAGTTATATTTACAAAGTTAAACCAGCGAAAAACTTCGGAGCCAAATTTGTAAGTAATTTAATGACCACTGTCTACTAAATACTTTTTAATTTAAAATCTTACCAGCCCAAATACGTAAGCAGTTGTTTTATGAACCACTTTCCCGAGAGAGTCTGAACTTGTTTTCACCTGTTGCACCGGTGTAATCAACAATTTAAGGTTCTAAACCTTTAATGCTTTAATAGGTTTACTCCTTCACTTTCTACGTTTTGTCCTATCAACTTCCTTGCACGCGGTTCGAACTCGACTTTAATTTGCCTTTAGAGATGTTGTTTTGGGTTAGTTGTTGTAATAGCACATGTAGTAGTTTGAAAATATTTCAGTATACAGGTATGAATCACTGTAGAGAGCTAACCGTCAATCGATGTATCTTCGAAAAACGTATTTTAAAGAGGGTCCCCAATACGGTTCTTTAATCCCGCGATCCCGACTAAGATTTCCTCTCGATCCCGTAATCCTGACGGGTTATGCCGGCCTTAAATTTTTTTCTTAGTCCACTACCTCAACTTAAAAGGGTCTTTTTGGTGAGTGATACTTTCCTTATTGAAGTCGTTTCTCACCGTAAGGCGTACGTTTACCTCTTTTTCACCTGAACGACGATATCGTTCGTTTTAGCCTTAGTTTTCAAAGTTTTGCATGAATAACTACGCTGGTCGCGTAACGATTTTCACAGGGTCTGCACAGTAAACTTTTGAGTAGGGGGCTTACGATGAATAGATGGGGGCATGCCTCGCATGACAAAGTTTTTCATTAAAAGGCTAAAGCCGCCACCCCNAATCTTTTTTTTTTTTTTTTTTGATTTCAGCCAATCAAATTTGTAAATTTGGTAGTTCTTTTTTTTTTTTTTTTACAGCCATATAGTAAAGGCGAGGAATAAAACATGTGATTTTTTTTTTTTTTTTTTCCATAGCCGCTTTGTTGCCAACAGTCGTTTTAACATTTTTTTTTTTTTTTTCTTTGTAACGCGTGCAGTGTCAACAGTCAACTGTAAATTTTTTTTTTTTTTTTGAAAAATTAAGGAAAAATTAAAAAGGAAAATAAAAGCTTTTTTTTTTTTTTTTGAAGTCTCCTTTCCTTTTTTCCGTAGCTTCCTTGTCATTTTTTTTTTTTTTTTCGCTGTTTTGGTGACCTTCTTTGCAATGCGTGTAGTGTTTTTTTTTTTTTTTTTATAAAAAAAAAGCTCAAGGCTGGAAACTTCAACTGCTTTTTTTTTTTTTTTTTCYCCACTTGAAGGCTGATAAATTCCACAAAAGTCAATTTTTTTTTTTTTTTTTTCCACCTGCGAGAGCGCTTAGCTATAGCCTACCCATTTTTTTTTTTTTTTTTTCCAAATTCCACTGCATTGATCCAAGAGCAGCTCTGTTTTTTTTTTTTTTTTTGCAAAATAGCTTTGTAGGTATGCGTAATCCTTTTGGATTTTTTTTTTTTTTTTGTTTTTTTGTTTTTGTTTTTGTTTTTTTTCTGTTTCTTTTTTTTTTTTTTTTTTAGGCACTGTAAACCTAGTTGCTGCTGATCCTATTGATTTTTTTTTTTTTTTTGACAATGGTGAAACCTTGTGGGGGTCAATAGCTTTAGTTGAACGAGGGTGAGTGAATACAGACTTAACCAAAATTATTGGATGGGGTAACTTTTTTTTTTTTTTTTCAGTATCCATATTCTCCATGCTGTTCTCTATATGTTTTTTTTTTTTTTTTTTTAGAGAATCTGTTTATTGATCAAGATCTACTGATTATTTTTTTTTTTTTTTTTTGATTCAGTGGTAGTGTCGTAAGGAGAAATTAGATGCTTGTCTCTCTTAAGGGTCAAAGGGTAAAACATGATAGTGAGATAATCAGGTTTGCAAATAATCTATTGTCTGCAACATTTGACAATACTTCTACTTGTTTGGGACTATCATTTGAAGGTATGGTGTAACCAAAGCAGTGCGCAGAGGACTTATTTGCATCTTTGTGGCCATCAGAATTGATAATGAAAAACCCATGCATAGTGAAAGAAGAATAGTAGCCTGCATTTAGCTCTCAAATAAGTTGAATATTTGTCCACATGTGAATGGCCTTTATTACCAGTTCACCAAATTCCCTTAAGACTAATCTTTGAGGCTATCAAATGTGGAGTCAAGTGATAGGCCTGTCTTTCCCCTGCTTACATCGTCTCTTTGCATGGAAACTGATGCATAACTGATGCCTGCTAAGATGTGAGTAACTTTATTCTCTAGGGGTTGTTCCTTTGTCTCCAAAACCAAGACAGTTGAACATCATGGAGCTTTTTTTTTTTTTTTTTCGGACAATTTACAGTTTGACAATGCAGATTCTTTAGTTTTTTTTTTTTTTTTTGGAACAACAAGAGAAGTCAGCATTCCTGCGGGGTTCATTTTTTTTTTTTTTTTGTACTGAATTTCATTGATCATTACTGTAATGATTCACTTTTTTTTTTTTTTTTTCACCCCATGGTTATTCTTTGAACATTACATTATTTTTTTTTTTTTTTTTTTTGAATGATGTAATTATTTTCCAGAAGTTCCAAGTGCCTTTTTTTTTTTTTTTTTGTCATTATTAATAGCTATACATTAAATAGTCCTCTTTTTTTTTTTTTTTTTTTAAATCTGCCGTGATAAGTTAGAGCCAATTTAATTAGCTTTTTTTTTTTTTTTTGCAATGAGAGAGGACTGTGAACTAATAGTACAGATTTTGTGCAAAACCATCACTATGAGGTTGTTGTGGCCTCTCTGCTGTGACCTAGTATTTTTTTTTTTTTTTTTTACTTCCTTAGTTGACCTTCTCAAGGCCCTAACCAGTTTTTTTTTTTTTTTTGTGAACTGGAATTTTCAGTTTGGGAAGCTAAAACTCATTTTTTTTTTTTTTTTCTGTTAACACTAACTGGTAATTTGTTTTTCACATCTTTTTTTTTTTTTTTTTTACCTCTAAAAGGATGCTAATGCTGACTTTTGCTTGATTTTTTTTTTTTTTTTTAGCTGAATATTAGTGGCTCAGTGTTTCATAATCATGACTATAGGCAGTGGTGAACTGATAGAGTGATTGTGGCTCAGTTTTTCATTTTGATTTTTTTTTTTTTTTTACTGACATGGTGATTGTGGCTCAGTTTTTCATTTTGATTTTTTTTTTTTTTTTGCT